AACCCTAAACCTAAACCCTAAAGAAACCCTATAACCTAAACCCCCAGGTCCATCCCCAGAGACTCCAATACCCCTTAATTAAGGAATATACCTTAAATTATAGTAGGATCCCTAACAAGATTTAAGGTATATTCCTTAATTAAGGGGTATTGGAGTCTCTGGGCCCCAAAGGCTTCAAAACATCTCTACCGGGGCGCCTCTCCGGCAGTTCCCGCTCCTGGCTCGTGCTGCGCTGCTGAGGCCTCGGTTTAGGGTTTAGGGTTTAGGGTTTAGGGTTTAGGGTTTAGGGTTTAGGGTTCCAAGGGCTTTAGGAGTGACCCCTAAAAAAAGGGACCGCTAAACCCTAACCCTAAACCCCGTTAAGATACATACTTACCATCTAAGGGCTTTAGGAGGGACCGTTAATAGGGACCTTTGTAGGGTATTGGGGTTAAGATGGAGACTACCTGGCTATATAAGGGGTATATAAGGACTATACAATGGTTATTTAAGGTCACGGGATTAAGGGTCCCCATTAGGGGTCCCTCCTAAAATCCGTAGGCGGATGGAAGAAGGGTTTGGGGTTTAGGCTAAGCTTAGGGTTCGGGGTTTCGGATAGGGTTCTTATAGGGTTAAGGGTTTAGGCTAAGTTTAGGGTTTTGGGGTTTAGGGCTGAAGGCGAGTTTAAGGTTTAGGGTTTGAGGGTTTAGGGTTTTGGGGTTTAGGGTTTAGGGTTTCGGATTTAGGGTTTAGGGTTTTAGGGCTTACAGTGAGTTCAGGATTCAGGGCTCAGGGACCGGAAGTCCTTTTTTTGGAGTTGGTGGCATTGGGCTTCAGGGCATGGGGGTTTTTTTAGGGCATCAGGGCCTTTGAGCTCAAGGGGCTTCGGGCTAAGGGCTTAGGGTTTAGGGTTTAGGGTTTAAGGTTTAAGGGCTTGAAATTTTTGGGGTCGAGAACTGAAGGTTGTTGGAGTCGTTGGGTGTTAGTGTTCAGCATTTATGACTCGGGGGTTTAAAGTTTGTTCGTGCTTCGTATGCAAAAGCTACAAAAACGAAAAAAGCCGAGGAAACTCGGCAGTTCCAATTGTATGTATGTCTGTGCATGTGTAGGCTTTAGGGGTGCAGGGACTAGGGTTTCTTCTTTTGCGGGCTCCTTTTCTCACTGCTGTTAGGAGTGTGACCTTCCTATTTTGGGAAGAGCCCTGGGGTTTAGGGACTAAGGTTAGGGTTTAGGGCTCACCCTAAACCCTAAACTCTAAACCCTAAACCCTAAACCCTAAACCCTAAACCCTAAACCCTAAACCGACTAAGGTTTAGGGTTTAGGGCTTACCCTGTCCGTTTTCTTCACCTCCCTTCTTCCCCGACTCCAGACTCGAGGCCCTCACTTCTCCATGGCACAGGAAGAGAAGAGCCCAGAAAGGCTCCGATAGCGCTTTCGACTGCTACAAGCCTTGAGCCATAGAAGCCATGGCGGGGGTTAGGATTTGGGATTTAGAGATGTTTAGAGCTGAAAGTAGCTTAGGATTTAGAGATATTTAGAGTTGAAAATGGCTTAAGATCTTAGAGTTTGGGGATATATAGGGTTCAGGCTTTGCACGCTGTGCAAAAAGTAGTGTCGGCCGGCTGCTCCGTGCCCATGCCTGCTCTGGCGCTCATTGCAATGAAGCTCTGGGAGCCTAAACCCGAAACCCTAAAACCTAAACCCTAAACCCTAAACCCTAAACCCTTAAACCTAAACCCCTAAACCCTAAACCCTAAACCCTTCTGGGGACCCAGCACTGGCATCTGCTTCCTGGAGTTCGGAGTTCGGGTGTTCCGGCCCCTAGTTCAGGGCAGAGATTCTTCTTAGGGCCTCGAGCTGACGGCTACTAAGGGGGCCTAAACCCTAAACCCTAAACCCTAAACCCGCATCCTATAAGGTAATCCCAAAAAGGAACTACTATGGGGGGAGGTAGAGGGCTTTGGGGTGCAGGGTTCAGGGCTCGAACCTGCCACAAGGGGCAGAGTCTCTCCTCCGCATCAGCCGGCAGGTGAAGGAGCAAGCGGAGGAGCTCCTGACCGTCGAAACTTTGAGGCGCTTTGGGCTTTATAGGGTCTCGGGTTCAGGATTCCCTCGGGGGCTCAGGGGCCACATGGCCAATTCGATGCGCTCTGGGGCTTCGGGTTCAGGGTTCAGGGTTTGGGGCTCGAAGCGCTTCGGGCTCAGCGGCATGTCGATGAACCCTTGAAGACTCTGGCAAAGCTGTGCGGCCTCTACCCGAACCATGATCGGAGAGAGCAGACCCCCCAAAACCTATATAGCGACCCTACAGGCACCAAGCACCGAGCCGCAACGCCCATCCAAAATCACCCCGGAAACCTGCTCAGACTCTCTACGAGTACTTTAACCCCGAATTCCTGAGCCCTAAAATCGGGTCTCACACTCTCAAGACCCGAAACCCCTCAACACCCGAAGGCAAAAACTAAACCCAAACTACACCCAACAAAAGCGTCTCAGGCTACAACCTCAATGACATGCATGTGAAGCCCCCAAAAAACAACTTCATGGAAACCTTATCGCTTATAGCTATTCAGAGCGCTTGCAGAGCCACTCCCTCAATCCCAAACCATAAATCCACCCCAACCCCAAAACACAAAAGTTGAGGTTTGCTGGCTCTCCGCAGTGTAGAGGAGCAGCGACGGGGGCGTCGGCCGCACGAAGGGCGGCTCGAGCCTTCTGCTGCCGGAGGATGCTTGTCCGGCGCTGTGGGATTCAGGGGTTTTGGGTTCAGGACTCAGGGTTCAGGGTTCAGGGTTTAGGGTTCAGGGTTCAGGGTTTAGGGTTCAGGGTTTTGGGTTCAGGGTTTAGGGTTCAGGACTCAGGGTTTCGGGCTCAGGATGTTGAGGCTTCGGGCATGGAATTCAGGCTTTATCTGGGGCGTGGGGGGTGTCACGGTGTTGGGTTCAGGGCGTGGGACTCAGGGTTTGCCTCGCGTAGGTATGCATGTACGCATGCATGTATCTATGGATGGATGCCTGTATGTATCTACGTAGGTATGCACTGTATGCATGCATGAATGCACTGTATGTATGCATGAATGCGCTGTATGCATGTATGAATGCATGCATGCATTTGTGCAAATGTCTACGTGTGTCCCTTCTTGCTTGAGTAAGTGGCTAGCTACCATTACACCGTCTCCCTGATTTGTACTTGAAGGCTTTGTGCTTCATATGTGACTTATTCAACTATCTCGCTCCAGGCACTCTAATCTTGCAGGCTGCCCTTAGGCATCTATGTGGTAGGTACTCTGTGCATTTCTATCACTGTGCTCTGCTGTATGTACGGCATGTGTCTGGCTGTCTCTACTTATCTATCGATCTATATATCTGTAGATGCATACACGCGAATGCTACTGCGTTAATACCACACATTCACGAGTGCAAACAATGAAAAAAGATGTGTGAGTGTAGCACAGGCAAGTTGTTGCAAGTGCGCAATTTACATGTATCTGGTTTTATGCATGCATGCATGCATGGTATATGGTTACGTGTTTGTGCGAGCAAGAAAGATCCTTCATTACATTCTCTCTCAATACAGCATGCCTCTGCGCGCATGTGTGGATGTGTGCATGGGAGACTACGTGTATCCGACATGCATGCTCTTGCGCATGGTGCCTTCATCCTAGAAGCTGCTACGTACTCAATTTCTATACCGCACATGACAAGACACACACCAGATGACCCCAAGCGACGTAATACGTCATCACATGTGCCACTCGATGGCTTGCAGCTGCAGCTTCAAAGTCCTTCAGCCTTTAGACATTAGAGCCTTGCAGACGCGAGACGTGGAAGCAGCCACCCCAAGTGTGGACGCCACGGCCAAAAACAGCGAGCGGCCTGGCCGTGCAATGTTTCGTCGGCACAACATAACACACTCCATCACTACAGCATTATTGGTGCCATGGTTCTTGTGTTGCTGGTGATACCACTAAAGCTACCTGGACTTCCACAACTGTCGCTTCAAGCAACATGCTAGTTTGGCCTTGGCCTATCCCCAAACAAGCAGACAACATAGACATCCGCCTGGTGTTTCACGTTGGTTGGCTCCCGAATTCTACACAAAACCAACTTGCACAAGGTCTTTTTTTTCACGGCTGGAGAGAGCACAGACCAGTTTAAGAGGGAGGCGGCCCCAAGCCCAAGAACTCTAGACCCTAAACCCTCAACCCCAAACCCTAAACCCTCAACCCTAAAACCTAAACCCTAAACCCTCAACCCTAAACCCTCAACCCTAAAATCTAAACCCTCAACCCTCAACCCTAAACCCTAAACCCTAAACCCTAAACCCTAAGCCCTAAAACCCTAAACCCTCAACCCTCAACCCTAAACCCGCCCGCTCTGCCAGAAATCCCAAACGGACTGCACC